GGGGGGGGGGGGGGGGAAGAAAAGGATTGGGATGAGAGGAAGTTTTTATTTATTTAGATCTATTAGCGAGGAGGGAGTGGGACAGCGTGCGAAGACGGATATTAGTGGTTTGGTCGATGGGAGGGAGATGAGAGAAAGACGTCTCCAGATCAGAAGATCAGAGAGATCCGAGTGCGTGCCTCCGCCACTCTCCCTCTCTTGCCAGCTGCTCCCTTCTCCACTCCCCCCCCTGAATTCACTATTCCTCTCTCATCCATCTCTGTCCTTGTCGTCACCAAACCACTGCCCTTGTCTCCTGTCTTATTAGAGAAACATCAATTAGGAGGAGTATATAAACAACAGATTCCTTCCTGCCGTCATGCCAAGTGGGCGTCTTCTAATGGTTAGGAAATCTCGTTGTGGTTTCAACAATCCCGTGAAAATGTCGGTTCGATTCCGGCCGCCCACACCTGATGCGCTCGCCGTCTGGTTCGGCCACAAGGAGGGCTAGAAGACCATAGCTTTTTCAGTCTCTACTGGGGCAGAGGGAATCCAATACCTTTTCTATATGCTATCAAACATTTTTTTGATGATGATGATAACACCAAATCAAAGATGAACGCAAGAAACAGTTTGAGGGAAAGAGAGATCACAGCATGTTGCGAATGAAACGGGTGATGAGTTTAAGGAGGAAGGGGACGTGGTAATAATGGTGATCAAGGGGATCAAGATGGGCCTTGAGGTCGTCGAGTTCCTCGATGAACTGTCTCGACAGACTCTCTCCTCCATTCATGTGCTGTTGTTGTTGTTGTTGTTGTTCCTTGGACAGCTCGTGCTCTTGTAAGGAATGATAGTCAAGCACCATAAACAGGTTGCACTCCAGGTCTCGCTCCGCTGACCGCCGTCCATAATTCGACGAGCCAATGCTCGTCACTACACATCGCTCCGACAGGACCCCTTCCTCTTCCCCTCTTGTTGTTCGCTCGTTAATCCAAAGCCCTGTTGTTTCCATCGAACGAGAAATAAACACACACACACACACAAATATATATATATATATGTAATCAGCTCTATGTTGTACACTTGGGCATCTTTTCCCATATCTACACCATATACCTTTTGCATGGTATGTCCATCCTACGCGATTCCATCGGCGGATCACAATCTGCTCTTGTTTGTTCGCACGCACAACTTCCTTTCGAAACATGTTCTCCAAGTAATTGTATGCCGTGGGTATGTATTTCGAGACACCTTTAGATTGGAAGAACCCATTCGCCTTGTTTTTTTTTTTCATAATATATTAGAAGAAAAGTTTTGGTTTAGTATGCTTAACTTTTTTTTTTTTTTTCTTCCTTTAAAAAAAACTTGTTACAGACTGACTTGAGGCGATGCGGTGATGATCTCGACATGCGCGTTGGAAGATAACATTAGAGATTTGTACTCTCTGAGGAGACTAAAATAACCACTCGTCCAATTCAGGATGGTTTTTCTGTGGCAGGGGGAGTGATGAGAGAGCTGGTGGACAAGGTTTAAGAGTTTCGGGATCATCAAGCCAGTTTCGTGATGGATCTTGAAAGGGCTGATTTGCAGGGTAGGGAAGATGGACACGCGGGTTAGAGAAGAGCCAGTGGTGTCGTTGGAGTACTGAGCGAGCAATTTCAGCCGCCATCGTTCGGTGAAGCCCTTGTAAAGCCGATTTGCGGTCGCCTTGAATTCCTGGGAAGCTCGTTTGGAATCGATCGGTGGCCCACTCGAGTTCGTCTCCGGCCATACGATCTTTAATTTATGAGCTTCCTCTCCTCCACCCTCCTCCAATCGGTAAGAAATTGAACTCGTCAACTGGATTAACTCGTACAGATACGAGCTCAGTTCTTTTTGTCTGCTCAACTTCACATATCGGTCCTGTCGATTCGTAAAATAATCCGCACTCAGGTTGGCCCTACAAACCCAGCAATAAAGATAAAATATATTCCGCCATCATGAGCTAACCGTACTTAGTGTAAAAAGTTAATGAGTGGTCGATGATAGGGCATAAAAAAAAAAGGAGAGAAATGAATAGAAAGTGGGTTTTTTGTTGTTGGTGTTGGGGGTTTTTATTAATGTCACCCTACCCACTCATAATGACATCACTATCAGCGCCGTATATCTTCATATGTTGCAAGCCAAATCCCTCGTCGAATCTACGGGGGATAAGTCGTTTGAGGGTGCCGAACAATTCGGACGTGTGAAATAGACGGATCTCGACTCGGTCCGGAAAACGGGCCTTGAGGGTCCCTAGCAGGCTCGCCGAACACCTCTCTCCCCGAGAGTCTTCGCGTGTCGACCGCAGATAATCTACCAGTATCGTCAGTTGAATCCCCTTGTTCCTGTCTAATGCCATTCCCATGGCTTCGATCTTGGTTGTGTTCACGTTTCCATTCCATTTTCAACATTTTTTTTTTTTTTGCGGAAAGCGACACTTTCCTTAGCCTAGATGTCTGACTCTTGTGGTCCGAATGATGGGCTCACCAAATCCGTTTCTTCCCTCCCGACATATAAGCTAGCGATGAAGATCCTCCTTTTAGCGGTACGAATGAGGGTCTAATATGGGGGCACAAGAAGTTAGCATGAGGGGGGCGATATACAAGACAATCAAGTGAGATGAAGCACCAATAGTTCGAGGTAGAATTGGGAAGGTTCTTTGAGGACCTTGATCGCATTGGTGGGCGAGGTGAAGCGAGGTAGATGGGCCGATAAGTCCTGGACGAGGCCGTTGAGGAGGCTGCTGTGGTGGGCCCTCGACTCGCTGCTGTGGTGCCTTCCCCGGTTCAGTCGCAGGCTACTGTTCCTGATGAGTACTCTAGTTGTTTTCAGTGGATGAAGCTTAATCATTTGTAGTTTGTTCGTGGTGCTTTCGTGTGAGAACTACTCCAAAATCGCTCACATTTCAAACAAGCGTATAAATACACGAGATTTTATTTTTTTATTTTTAATTTCACTTCATGCTAGATAACAAAGACAACTAACCACCATCCATGGAACGGAGGAACCCAAATCAATATGAAACAGGTTTTGCTTTGATGATCTGACGCATCCAGACAACAACAGAAAAGTATTGATCTGATTGTCAGAGTGAGAATGAAGATCAGCTTCTGAGAATATCTGCATATTCAAGATGAAATTGGATCACACTTGTGTGTAAAAGGGAAACTAATAGAAAACTGATTGAGGGTAAGCAGCAGCAGAAAATTCAAGCTTAGCTTATAAGCGCCGCCGAACAGTGCTGGTAAGAGCCAGGCGCAAAGTGCATGCGAGGCTCATCAATTATAAATTGCAGCCCTCATGACAGGATCTGTTTTCTTTTTTAAGGGGCTTTTTCAGTCATTTGTTGTTACTACTTATATTTATTGATGTACTCTGCATACCCATGGATGACGGTACCCAAAACATGCGCAAGATTGTCTACTAGAATGAAGCAGATTTTCTGGGTGTTCAGGGAGCAGGGGCACGAGGCTGCAGGAATGACAGGGATTTGAATTACATGATATTGTCTTTCTCAAAAAGATTAGTTATTTTATATATATATATTTTTACACAATTATGGTATTCAAAATTTGAACATAAAATCCACCAGGGCTGTTTCCGTGGCACTTGCATGCTATCACTTGACTTTCTTGAATAACCTGTTGGTAACTTCTGTGACATTAGTCTGAAGTACACTGCAAGTCAGGTTGAACTCA